CCCACCCCAGCCCGGGGGTCTGGCGTCCCCCACGGCCCCGAGAGGCTGCCAGCCTTCATGGGGGGGCACTGCGGGGCCCCCGCGGCTCAGCTGAGCTGTGCCCCCCCCCCCCCCCTCCCCGGGGGGGCTGCCCCTCGCCCCCCCCGGGCCCCGTGTGCGGGCCCTGATCGTGTCTGCGTCCCCCCCCCCGCGGCCGTGGGTCACCCCCTGCCAGCCCCACAGCGCCGTGGCCGTGTGCCATCAGGCGGTGGTGGCTGCGGTGGCAGCGGTGGTGGCCCAGGTTGTGGCGGGAAGGACAGGGACACCCCACGTGGTGCCGCCGCAGGCGATGCCGCATCCCCCAACATGGAGGAGCCGCGGTGGTGAGGCCGTGATGGCGCTTCAGGGGTTTCCCGGGGCTTCCTGTGGGGTGACACCGGCGGGGAGGTGGGGCTGGCAAACCAGGAGTGCACCAGGCTCCATTCCCTGAGGCTGGGTGTCCTCCCAGCCACGTCCCTGGGGGGTGCTGGGACCCCCCCACTGCACTGTCCAAACCACCCCTTCTAAACAGTGCAGCCCCCGGCTGTGACAGAGGCTGGGGAGAGTTGGGGACAGGTGACCACGGGCAGGTGCTACCAGGTGCTCTCTAAGCCCACAGGCAGTTACAAACCCCCCTCTCCCTCCTGCAGCATCGGGGAGGATACTGAGGTTGGGACCCCCAAATTCTCTGGTTGCCCAGAGAAGCTGTGGCTGCCCCAGCCCTGGAAGTGTCCAAGGCCAGGTTGGATGGGACTTGGAGCAACCTGGGCTAGTGGAAGGTGTCCCTGCCCATGGCAGGGGGTGGGACTGGATGGGTTTTAAGGTCCTTTCCAACCCAACCTCCCTCACCTGCCCTGCAGCTCCTGGCACGGATCGAGCGCATGGAAAGGCGGGTGCAGCTGGTGAAGAAGGACAGTGAGCGGGAGAAGCACCGCATCTTCCAGGGCTTTGAGGTGGATGAGAAGCCAGAGGCAGAGGCATGTGAGAAGCTGCCTCTAGAGTGTCCCCAGGACCTGCTGGAGCCCCCCCCGACCCTGCAGCCCAAGCACTTCCCCTATGGCAGGAACGGGAAGGGGCATAAAAGGTATGGGGTGCCTGGGGGGCTGTGTGGGGGAAAGGGGGGACATTCCCTCTGGCTTTATCCTCTGTCCACGGGGCTCCCAGCGACCCTTGAGCTGCTCAGAGAGGCTGCCCAGCACCAGGAACACATCCCTGCATACAGGAGAACCTGATGAAAGCCTGGGGGGGGAGGGAGGGGGGCCAAAATTCCGGGGAAGGCTCTCTGGAAACTGCCTCTGTTCTGCCCTGATGCGACAGCCCAGGTTTGGGGGTGCTGGACTTCCCCCCGTGGTGGCCCCGGTGTGGGGTGAGGATCCATGTGCCTGGCTCAGCTCCTCTCCCTCCTGCAGGAAGCCGGCATTCGGGAGCACGGAGAGGAAGACGCCCGTTAAAAAACTGGTGTCCGAGTTCTCCAAAGTGAAGAGTAAAACTCCAAAGCACTCCCCGGGGAAGGAGGAGTCAGGCGGCTCCTTGGCTGAAACTGTTTGTAAACGAGAACTGCGGAGCCAAGAGACTCCGGAAAAACCCCGGTCACTCCTGGAGACCCCGCTCCGAGCCTCGGCCCCGCCGAAGGGCCCCGGCACCCACCCCAAGGAGAAGGGCTTGGGCAGCGAGGCCGACGACCTGCCCTATCTCTCCACCACCGAAATGTACTTGTGCCGCTGGCACCAGCCGCCCCCGTCGCCGCTGCCGCTGCGGGAGCCTTCCCCAAAAAAGGAGGAGACTGTAGCAAGTAAGGATGGAGAGAACGGTGGAGAAGCTGCTAGGGCTGAGCTGGCCAGGGAATGCAGCTCAGCACCTTCATCCTGAATCCGGGACAGGGCTCCCAGATTCCCAAAGGGAGTGCCCGTGGTGCTGGGAGAGGTGCCATGCTGCTGGCTCCTTCCACGGTGGTGGGTGCTGGCTCTGGGCTCTCCCAGATCTCGTCTCCGGCTCACCTCGCTCTGGGCAGGGCTCCTGGCCCCACTCTGCTGGTGTCTGTTGGAGTGAGGGGTGAAGCAACTTCCCCAGGGTGGTTGGGAAACGTGCTCTGGCTTGTGCCACCGTGCCACAGCACCGGGGTCACCCGCTGTCCCTGAATCCTGTACCTGTCCTGCCAGGTGGCCAAGTGCTCCGGCGTGGGGAGAGCTCAGCACATCCCTGGAAGTGGCTCAGGTTTGCTCGTGTGCTTGGCCAAAGGGGTGATGACAAACTCTGCCTCCCCCCAGGCCCCCATCAGCTCCTGGTGCAGCAGCATCGCCTGGCTTGGCTTGGGATGAGGGTTTGGGAGATTCCAAGCTGTGCTCTGAGGGAGGGATAGGAGGGAAAGGTGGGGCAGGGGGTGTGGAGGTCCCAGTGGGGGTAACAGCTTCCCTCTCGTCCTGCAGTTCCGTCATGGAGGGACCATGTCGTGGAGCCCCTGAGAGACCCCAACCCCTCGGACCTCCTGGAGGTATGTGAGCCATCCCACAGCAGCTCCCATCGGACCTGGTGGTGCCACAGGGGCCTTCTGGGCTGTTCCACGCTCCTGGAGCTGGGGGGGGAAGGACCAGCCCTTCCTGGGGCTGTGGGAGCAGGATCTGGCACCGGGATGACGTGCTGATCCCTGTCTGGTGTCGTTGCAGAACCTGGACGACAGCGTCTTTTCCAAACGGCACGCGAAGCTGGAGCTGGATGAGAAACGAAGGAAAAGGTGGGAGCAAGGGGACCAAGGGGGGTCTGGGGTCCATGGTCCTGCAGAGGAGGGTCTTGAGGTGTCACCTGGAGCAGGAGGATGGGACAGGGTGCAACTAGGGTGGGAGCCTGGAATGCTGTGGGAGGAGGGATGCTCCTATGTCACTGGCAGCCGGCACAGCCCCGTGATCCCCCCGGGAGGGTCTGGCACTGCTCCTGGCTCCTCACTTTCCCATCCATCCCGTTTTTCCAGGTGGGACATCCAGCGGATCAGGGAACAGAGAATCCTGCAGCGGCTGCAGCTCCGAATGTACAAAAGGAAAGGGATTCAGGAGTCGGAACCTGAAGTTACCTCATTTTTCCCTGAGCCAGATGACGGTGAGTTGGGGCCCAGGGGTGTTGGGGTGTGGACAGGGGTATTGGGGTGCAGATGGGGGCTGTTGGGGTGCAGACAGGGGTGCTGGGGTGCAGATGGGGTTGTTGGGGTGCAGACAGGGGGGTCTCACGTTCTGGTGTCTCTGCAGTGGAAAGTTTGCTCATCACCCCATACCTGCCCGTCGTCGCCTTTGGCCGGCCCCTACCCAAACTGACCCCACAGTGAGTACGGGGGGCGCGAGGGACAGGGACGGGATGGGCCTCAGTCTGGTGTCACCCCCAGGAGGGCACTGGTCAGTCTGGTGCCGGTGACACCATCTGTGCCCGCAGGAACTTCGAGCTGCCGTGGCTGGATGAGCGCAGCCGCTGCCGGCTGGAGGTGCAGAAGAAGCAGACGCCTCACCGGACCTGTCGGAAATAACGGAGATGCCGGGAGCTCTGAACACCTCCGGGAGCTCCGTGTGTCCCCAGAGGCTCCGCCGTCACCGGCTCACCGCCCGCTCCGTGCCGACGGATGGTTTCGTTCCTCCGCGATCCCAGTTTTGTTCTCTTGGGTTTTGGAACGTTCCCCGGACTCGCCCCCCCCCGCGCTGGCACCGGCCGAGGCTCCCCAGCGGCTGCTCCGCTCCCGTGGCCTTGGGATTTGGGATATCGCCGTGGGGATCACCAGGGCCCAGTCCTGGTGTCCGGGGGTGCCGCGTCCCCCCAGGACTCACCCGCCGCTGCCTTTGTGTTGCGTTTAGTTAGAAAACGGGATAAACAGCGGGTTTTGTCGGAGCCAGACGGGAACCGGGAAGTTGGAAGCACCTGGGAGCCACTTTTGGGGTGTTTTCCCCCGTCTTTGGGGAGTTTCCCCCCCCCTCTGGAGCGCGTTGGCGGGGGCAGAGGGGGGGAGAGTTAAAAAGCAGAATTTTTTTTTTTTTTTTTTTTTTTTTTT